TCGTAGGAACTCGCTTCTGTAGCATGCTTCATTGGGCATGAAATTACCTTTTTCATCTTGTTTACTCATGAGCATTAAAAACGGTAATGTCTGGCATTGGCCACTCATAATTTACCTTGTGCTTTGCCTTGCAATTCAACCTCGTTTCTGATATGCGATCTTTAGACCGCGACAGAGATCGTGAAAGAGATCGTTCCCGTGAACGAACACGCCGTGAGGATCGAGATCGTGATGATCGTGATCATCACAGAAGCAAGAAGAATAGCAAGGATGATGAAGAGCGTGAGATTGAGGAAGCAAATGCACTTCGAGCAAAGCTTGGCTTGGCTCCGCTTGAGCGATAGAAGCTGTATTATTGTTACAATTTAAAGATGGTCTCGTTCTCTGTCGGTTTTTCGTGTACATTTGTGATTTCAGTAAATAACTTTTTTAGCTGCAGGAAACTCTCTTTTGATATTCTTTCAGAAGTTATCTTTAAATGTGTTCCTTGTGAATGTTGTTTTTGTTGCTATGAGTAAATACCATCTCGTGATTGGCTTCGTCTCTTTTTCTTACTCAAATGTTGCCTTCGTAATTACCTAGACAGCTTTGGATTGAATAGGAGCATTAACGTTGGACCGGAACTGGCATTGAATGGGTCCTTCTCTCCTTATACATACTTTGCTAGCAATTTGTTCGCTCATTTTCTAACATCTTGTATTGCACTTTCGATATAAGGATCCAAACTATCAACCGTTAAATACTTATGCCCTAGATACGACTAGGTACGACTAGTACACTACGTTGGGCCTAGTTGTACGATGAAGGCCGCCTTCGGCAGTGGAGAAGCAGAATATTCACGTATTGTATCAAAATCTAGCGCTAAACTACTTAATTCCCTATGGGAAAAGGTTTGTCTTTCAACATTTTGTGAATGTGTGGGTGTTCTCATTTGGTAAAACATCGTTTTCATTTTACCTCTGTTTTCTGCGCAGACAATCCGAAAGTTCGAAACTCTTCCATCCCCGTCATAATCCCTTCTAT